AATTTAAACTTATGACATTTGTCACCAAGAACTATTTCTACAGCGCGCATAAGTGGAACTCAAATAATTTTCACTGGTTCTGGTGCATTAATGTCTTTTACATAATATATAATGACCATTTTCAGGACAGAAGATTTTTCTTCATATCGACTAGATCAGGAATAGTACTTTCTGGTTCACTGTCCCATTTAAATAAATCAGGGACTACCTAAGCAAGAAAATACCTTAATTTATTTAGTTTTCCTTTATAGAGAGAGAAATGGCACTTCACTCACCTGCTTTATAAATTATGAAGAGGGAGTACAAAACTTTTTTTGTTTATTTATTTATTTATTTTGAGAAAGAGTTTCTCTCTTTTTTGCCCAGGCTGGAGTGCAATGGCAAGATCTCAGCTCACTGCAACCTCCGCCTCCTGGGTTCATGCAATTCTCCTGCCTCAGCCTCCCAAGTAGCTGGGATTACAGGCGTGTGCCACCACCCCCGGCTAATTTTGTATTTTCAGTAGAGACGGGGTTTCACCGTGTTGGCTAGGCTGGTCTCAAACTCCTGACCTCAGGTGATCCGCCCGCCTCGGCCTCCCAAAGTGCTGGGATTACAGGCGTGAGCAAAGCTTTATTTAACGAACACAACAAATACAGATTAGACTACAGTCATATGTTACACCCAGTTAAAAGAGGGAGGAATAAAAAAAGTCAGACATTGGGACAAAGAAAGAAAAAGCAAGCAAGGAAGAGATTTAAGAGCACTTGAGAGTATTTACTGAAATTCAGAAAAAAAGACACAGGCCCAGAGAGAGAGCTTGTAAACTGTGAGCCAGAGCGATTCAGAGCTGGAAGGAGTCAGAGACACCATCTGGTTGAGCCTCCTTTTTTGTGGACGGGGAAACTGATACTGAGAGAGATTATGTAATTTGATGAAAGCCACACAACTGAGTCGAAACAGTTGATGAACCTGAGAGGGAAAGATGCACAAACACAAGAACAGGAAGAGAGATGGATCCACGTAGAACCCAAGACGACCAAAGACCCAAGAATCAAGACAGAAGCAGAATGAGAAAACTCTGCCCTGCTAAATCCTTTCTGAAATGAACTCTATATACATAAATAATTAAGTATCCCTGAATAGATCTGAATATCTGCCTTAATGATATAATAAAAATATGATATACTCTAGATTTATTTGCTCTGCCAATTGACCCTTTGAAAAATATCTCCGTTCTTCATCGTGTTAACATTCATTTAGAGTCTTTTCAAACTTTCAGTCATTGCTGAAGATCCATGAAATACCAATTGTTTCCAAATTAAAATACATCCCAGAGAGGCAAAAGGTTAACATGTGGAGAGAAGCAAAATCACAAAAATGTTAGAAGAAAACATAGTTGAATAATTACATTATTTTGTATTATAGTGGGTCTTTATAAGTAAGCCTCTGACCAAAGGCAGAAATCACACAAATAAAACAGGTGGGTGTGACTACAAAAACATTCAAAACTTTCATAAAAAAAGAAACACCATATAGAAGTCAAAAGACACAGACTGGAAAGATACAGTTGCAATAAAGAGTTATTTATAACAGAGAGTTAAAGCTCATATTGTTATTAATCAATAAGAAATATATTCTCTTCTATTCCCAGCAAAAAGTGAAGGACACAAAGCAACAAAAAATAAGAAAAGGGAAAACATTAAAATTACTCAACTCACAGTATTCGAGGCAATGCAGATTTAAACAGTGAACGCTTTTTGTCCCCGTCAAGCAGGCTGACATGAATACAAAAAGACACTGACCAATATTAAAATTGTGTGGAGAAGGTGATAATCTCATACCCTACTGGTGAATTAGAAATTGGTAAATTCTTCTTACAATAAAATATATTTCAAGTACCTTTAAAATGTATACATCTTTCATCCTAGCAATTAGACTGAAAAGTGTGATTAACTAATTCTAAAGAACCAGTTCTAAGGAAAAACTGGATGACAAGTGTGTAAAGATTTTCATAAAGGTTATATTATTATAGTATCATAAGGTGGAAAATTTTAAAAACTTAAAAGTCCAATGGTGGTGCGAGAGCAAAATAAGTGATCGTGCATTCACAGAATGGTATGCTATGCAGATACTAAGCAAGATGTTCTAGTTGTACGTTTATTGCTTGGAAAATGTTTCAAAGGCCAGGTGCGGTGGCTCACACCCCTAATCCCAGCACTTTGGGAGGCCGAGGTGGGGGTATCACAAGATCAGGAGTACGAGATCAGCCTGATCAGCATGGTGAAACCCCATCGACTAAAACTACAAAAATTAGCTGAGCGTGGTAGCTCGCGCCTTTAATCCCAGCTACTTGGGAGGCTGAGGTGGGAGAATGGCTTGAACCCGGGAGGCGGAAGTTGCAGTCAGCCGAGATCGCGCCACTGCACTCCAGCCTGGCAACAGAGCGAGACTCCGTCTCACACACACACACAAAAAAAAGTTTCATGATATGTTAGGTGCAAAAAGCAAGTTTCAAAACAATGTGTATATTATGATCCCATTTCTTCCTTTTTATTTACACATATGTATGTTCATAGAAAAAAAGTAAAACAGGCTGTTCCCTAAAAGAGAAAGTAGTTAAATCTGAGTAGCATAACAGAATCTGTTTTGTATTCTGCTTCTCAGTACATTTATGGTTGCCACAATGACTATTGCATTGATCATCAGGCAAAAAGAGATGGGGAGATCTAAAAATGATTTTTACATTTTAGCATATTTTGATAGGATATAATTGTCTTAATTGACTAGTGATGAAAAATTTTTAAGGCCAGACATTTATTTAATAAAATGCCTTTTGGAAAGCCCTCATTGCAAGGATGAAAGCCATAATGGCTAAAATAATAGAAGCCAAATTGAAATTCTAACACACAAAGAGTAACTAGTGGGTTGAAATTCTTCCAAATCAGGCAAAGGCCCTAATTCTCTTCAGCGTAGAGGTGTGAAGCCCCATTGACAAGCAGATGGCAAAATGGGAAATCCTTCAATGTAGTTATTTTTAATAACTTCTTTTGCCATCTACTATCTCATAGCTTGGATCAAAAAAGGCACTGAACTCTCTTCACTTCTCTATTCAAATATTTTAGAAGAAATCAAATACTCCCAAGAGAGTCATGATTCAAATCAATGTGTCACCCAGTGAGAAAACTGCAAGACTTTGGTTTACAGAGATGGTAGAGCAACTCATTTGCCACTTCACTGATGAGGGTTTACAGGCTTAAGCAGATGCTAATTCATCTCTGCCACTAAAGCCTTTGATCTTCCAGTCCTGTCTGATGAAACTACTGGAGTTTATGACTTTTCTTAAGATAATAGGGTAAGTGATCAGAATCAATCCCCAGCCTACCGATCTTACCTGAATTCCAGTAACCCTACTGATTACTCCTTTTTTTTTTTTTTTTTTTTTTTTGGGAGACGGGGTTTTAATTTTGTTGCCCAGGCTGGAGTGCAGTGCGCGATCTCGGCTCACTGCAAGCTCCGCCTCCCGGGTTCACGCCATTCTCCTGCCTCAGCCTCCCGAGTAGCTGGGACTACAGGCGCCCGCCACCACGCCCGGCTAATTTTTTTTGTATTTTTAGTAGAGACGGGGTTTCACCGTGTTAGCCAGGATGGTCTCGATCTCCTGACCTCGTGATCCGCCCACCTTGGCCTCCCAAAGTGCTGGGATTACAGGCGTGAGCCACCGCACCGGGCCTGATTACTCCATTTTTAAAGACATCCAAATCTACATCTCAGAAACATGTAGATCTATGAGGCCCCTGACTTGAAAGTTCTTCTCGACAGAACAGGGTTGAAGACAATAAACCCTGTTTGTTGCCTTAGGAATAAGACAGATCTGATACAGTTGCCACTCAGGAACTATGAGTCCTTGAGTAAACTTCTTAACTTCTCTAAGCCTCAGTTTCTCCATCTGTACAATGGGAATAATGTAAATAATATCTCCTTTGATAAGTCGTTGCTTAATAGAGTGCCTAGTATGTAGCCCTCAATGAAAGAGAAACTTGGGTTTTATTTTTAGTAATGGTATCTTCTTTTCTAAATCCTCGTCACCTATTTCTTTCAACAGTTTTTCCTATGATTCATTTTCGTTTCCAGAAAAGTTGTTATTCTAAGATACAAACATGTATATAAATTTGAGTTCCTCCTTTTATACCAGCTGCTTTAAAAAATATATAGCTAAGAATACTACATACACAATTAAATCCATTTGTGATAGAATGCTTCAATGAATCTTTCTATGAGATTTCTTGGGAATATTTTAATATTTTCATGCTCATGAACCTCAGTCTAACTCTATAACTTACTCCAAAAATCACAGTGAATGTGCTTGTTGTGCTATATGTCTTGTAATGACATTTAGACAGAAGCAATGAAATCCGATCTAACCTAGCAGTAAATGTGGTAAAGCTGATTTCTGTGTAAAGTTATCAGTTTCAACTTCTAGCTACCCGAGACAAGGAGCCCTGGGTAGTCTTGACATGAACTTAGAAGCAAGGCATCTCTTGAGACAAGAACCAGGATCTACAATCACATTTCAAACGAATTTATGCCTTCCAACTAATTGACTTGTTAACTATGCTAATACATTCATGTCTCTGCCTTTATATTTTTTCAGTAAGTAACGCTACAGAACTCAATGATGTGAGATTAAAGAGCAAAGAATCTAGAGATTTCTGTAAACCCTTTTTCTATAGGAAACCAGATTAGACTTCCAAAACAGCTGATACAATTTTTGTGCATCTCCAAATATTTTATTTCTGTAGCAAATGTGTTGCTTTTTAGAAGACAGCTCTTTTAATTAGGCATTCTAGCCTAAGGGGAGAAAAGCTTCAATTTTCTCTATTTAGATAAGACCAACTTGAAAGTGGCAATACTAGACGCACTATGCAGTCTCATCTCCTACCACAGTTGTTCAAAATGTGAAGAATTAAGCAATAGCAAAGGTTATTCCCTCTGAACTCTGTGCCTTCTGTCATTCCCAGGTGGTGCTGGGGGCCAGCAGGGCTTCCTGGGCTGCATCCGCTCCTTGAGGATGAATGGGGTGACACTTGACCTGGAGGAAAGAGCAAAGGTCACATCTGGGTTCATATCCGGATGCTCAGGCCATTGCACCAGCTATGGAACAAACTGTGAAAACGGAGGCAAATGCCTAGAGAGATACCACGGTTACTCCTGCGATTGCTCTAATACTGCGTATGATGGAACATTTTGCAACAAAGGTAAGGCAGAACCCATTTCCAGAGCCACTTTTGTGCATCTTTTTAAGCCCAAATCATCTATTTAGTGATTTTTCATATGTGAACAAGTGTGCCTTATTCTGAGGTTAAGATGATCAGAATTTTTCTCTCAGGTAGGAAGTTTCCAACCAAAATCATTTCCTAATCATTTTTGTTTGATAAGATGAGAGAAGCTTTGTGTACGGTGCAGAATTTCTTCCAGATTCCAGCAAATTATTCACTGCCTGAAACACTACAAAGACAGCCTCATTACATCTTTATGGTGAGGGTCAAAATAGGTGGACTCCAAAAGGGGACTCAGGACTGACCCTCCCATGTTAGGATCTCCAATAGATCAATTGATCAGTCAACTGCTGTAGTGAATCAGCCAGTGCACCCCAGTGGTCTTGATGCCCCCACCCCCTGCAGTTGCTAAGAGACTATCAAGCTATACTCACCAGAAAGCTCCTCTGGTCAGTCATTAACATCATTATTATCACTCTTACTCAGGATGCCTTTGAATGGCTCTCAGCCTAAGCTAAACGGCAGAAATATTGAAAAACCACATCTAATTGGTCAGCTTAGAGCATCTGTTATTACTTGGTTCTTTTAGTCTTGAATAATTCCTTTAATCCCCGCAGAGCCAATCAATGAGCAGAGTACAAGAGCCCCAATGCATATGCATGTTATCATTTGAACTATACCCTGTGATCCTGCATGACCAGAAGAAGAAATTTACTCCACTGCTCTGTAGCTTAATTTCCCATATATAAATGAGGGATGAAGAGAGGAGGAGCTGGTGCTTTTCCTAAGCTACAATTGAAATGCGTGTAAATCACTCTTCTCTTTCTAAATGAATGTATAGCATTTGGGTAAAGTTTTCTTTGAACGGTTGATGTATCTCTTAATAAGAAGCTTTACATAAGTAGCCTATTCAGACTCTGATGAATACATGGAGGGTTGTTTACACTGGCATTATTCACGCAAGATGCCACACACAGAAGGAGGAATTGTTCCATAACATTCTCTGTACATCCAGGCTACTGTCTGGCAGCGCTATAATATGAGCATACAAATTAGGCCAGACAGGGTATGAAAAATGAGCATGAGACAACAACAAAGGTGGAAAGAAACACTATAGCGGAATAATACCATACCACACTAACAGCGCTATTACAGCGCATTTTTCTGTTCAGAACAACATGGTTCCATGATTTTCCTGTGGCACACAATGGAGTGGGTTTGCAGAACACATTAATTTTGCACTTGTAGAAATGACAGTCTTGCAATTACCATTCATTGTGCTTGATGCTAATTTAATGCAGTCATTTCCTTGCCAAAGTAATGTCTAAATGCAATCAAGTAAGCACTAATGCCTGAGAGATTCCAGTATGTAAGCACCAATTTAAAGAAAATCACCATCCCTTTATTTTTGGAGAGTTAGGTTAAACACAGTAGCTCACACAAAACCTCTGGAGGTTAATAGGCAATAGTCATGAATAGAAAGGCAGGGGCATATCCTCCCCAGTTGAGCTCACGTTGCAGATAAAGTTAGATGAATCCTGTGTGTTGCCTTTGACATTATTTCAACATGTTTACACAAAAGACATCTAAATATTTCCTTATTATCTGTTTAGCAGAATGAGTTTTCATTTGATTCAATTAGTGGCTTTAACCAAAAAATTTAAATAGAAGACTGCAAAACATACTGGAAACCATTTATGAGCATCCTTCTGAGTCAAGTACCTCCTTGACTTGGTAGAATGACAGCAGTACTGTTTTGGAGGAATCCCGCAGCTGTCCAGGAAAGCTTTGTCTGCACTGAGGCAAGCTCCGTCAGGGACTGGAAGGATCTCCCAGCCTGATGCTGCTTCTGCTGTGGACCTCACTCCCCAGGTATCCTGGTGCCTGCACAGCAGTTCCTGTGACCCCCACCTCAAGCTTCAGCCAAACAGCTCAGTCTCTACGAAGAGCTTTGGCATTGGCCAAAGAATGAGCTCTGGGCAAAGCCTTCCCTGGCCTTCCTTTGATAGTATAGGTCTATGCTTGCAGATGTCGAAAACGTCCCTAATATTTTGCCAAGTGAATGAAGCAAGGCCCAACCTACCACACACGGCCGGATTACATGTTTATACAAAACAACACATGCACACACACAGAGGTGAGGTAAACAAACCGTGAGAATACACACCAAAATGTTATTTGTTGTTATTTTTTTCCAGGAGGATAAAAATACTAGTATTTTTTCTTACTTTATTTTGCTTTAAGTTCTGGGGTACATGTGCAGAACGCACAGGTTTGTTACATAGGGATACATGTGCCGTGGGGTTTGCTGCATCGTCTAGGTTTTAAGCCCCACATGCATTAGGTATTTGTCCTACTGCTCTCTCTCCCCTTGTCCCCAACCCCACAACAGGCCCCTGTGTGTGATGTTCCCTTCCCTGTGTCCATGTGTTTTCATTGTTCAGCTACCACTTATGAGTGAGAACACGTGGTGTTTGGTTTTCTGTTCCTATGTTCGTTTACTGAGAATGGTGGCTTCTAGCTTCATCCATGTCCCTGCAAAGGACATGAACTCATTCTTTTTTATGACTGCATAGTATTCCATATTGTATATGTGCCACATTTGCTTTATCCAGTCTATCATTGATGGGCATTTGGGATGGTTCTGAGTATTTGCTATGTAAATAGCGCTGCAATAAACATATGCGTGCATGTTTCTTATTTTGTTTTTGCTTAACTATATTTTCCAGTCTTTGCACAATGATGTATTTCCTCTAACATCATTATTTTTTCTTCTTTGGAAAAATAGTAAAAGGAGGCTGAGTTCCTACCCCAGACATTTGAGGGGTAACTATCTCTGGTCATAAAATATCTAGCTATTTATTAGATATTGTTGGACCATTTAGTTGTACTTTCTGGATTGGAGTAGCATGGTCAGGTGAAAATTTTATATACTTATATTGCCCTTGATAATCTCAATACATTTAACAATACATTTTAAAATCTCAGTACATTTAGCAGAACTCATTTTCCACAAGCAGCTGAAGAGACCACCCTTCATATGGGCACTGGAGGAAGGGCTGCCTTGTTGGGGTCAGGCTGCCTGAAAATAAAAACCTCAAGACACTAGTATCACACTCAGCTATGTGAAAGGCTCACACTAGGACAGGCTTGGGACCCAAAATAGCCCAGGGGGACAGATCAGTGAGGTCTTGCCCCTGTATAGTATTAGCCCATCCAGGAGAATGGTGGGCAGACACCCATACTATTTGAATTCTCTCTGTTTTTCTCTCCTTTCTTTCTCCCCCTCATCCCCATCCTCCTTACATCATCCTCTTCTTCTCTTCTCCTCCTCCTTCCCTCTCCCTTCACCGTAAACACACTCTTTACTTCTACATCAATCCCTGTCTCTGTCTCTGTCTCTCCATATTCCATACTACTTTCCCTCTCTCCCTTTCTTTTGCTGGAGTGTACAGTTGAATGTGTAAATGAAATTACCATGTCTTGTCACTTCACTGAACTAGGAAGATGGGGCTGGATTTGAGCAGGTTCCTCATGATCATCTCTTCTGTTTTGTAGATAATGCACTGATACTGATACTCACTATTCCCCACTAACCGAAACCATACAGGAAGGGGACTTCCTCTAACCTCTTATCCAAATCTCCTTCCAGAACCCTTTTTCTTTTTTTTTTTTTTTCTTTTGAGACGGAGTCTTGCTCTGTTGCCCAAGCTGGAGTGCAGTGGCATGATCTCTACTCACTGCAAGCTCCACCTCCTGGGTTCATGCCATTCTCCTGCCTCAGCCTCCCGAGTAGTTGGGATTACAGGCATCCACCACCACATCTGGCTGATTTTTGTGTTTTTAGTAGAGATGGTTTCACCATGTTGGTCAGGCAAGTCTCGAACTCCTGACCTCAGGTGATCTGCCCACCTCAGCCTCCCAAGGTGCTGGGATTACAGGTGTGAGCCACCACACCCGGCCCACAGCCGTTCTTCAAATAGATCCATAAAGATTTGACCACCAGTTAAAGTGTTAGCTCTCCCAGGGCTATTTGCCTGGGAGTGCTGACTGGGGAACATTTCATGGTTTGGAGATAGCACAAGGGCGTTCTGGAAACCCTACAACTAGACCATGCAGGCAGTCTCTTCATCTGTCGGCAGATAACTGCAGCATCCCATCTTCTCAGCATGTTCACCAATGAGCAGCAGTTTACTCAGCGGAGGTAGGTCCCTTCCAATGCAGAATTCCTTGGCACCCCATTGGCTGAGGCTGACGGGAGAATCATCCCAGACTACATGGAAGGTTTAATTGTGGGTCTGTCATCTTCAGGATTATTGGAGACCAAATAGATAGTTCCTTGGTCATGCCAAGGATAATTTTCTAACATTAAAACTGCTCCTTCTTGGAGACTCAGATCCCAAAACACTCAAGAATTTTATAATTATCAGTGTCACTTTTATTACTAACCAGAAATTAGAAACATAATTTGCATTACACTCTCTGTGTGTCTTCTCTGTGTTTTTAAGCAAGAGGGAAAATAACAGACCTATAGCAGAGGCAGCAATTTCTATGTTTACCTTACATGGTTGAATGCCATAGTAGATTGAATTCATGTCCACCTGGAACTTCAGAATACAACCTTGTTTGGAAGTCGGGTCCTTGCAGATGTGATTATGTTAAGGTGAGGTCATACTAGGATAGGGTGGGCCGTAAATCCAATGAGTGTGTCCTCATAGGAAGAGGAGGGGATGCAGAGATACACACAGACACAGAAGGAAAGCCATGTGAAGACGGAGGCGGAGATCGGAGTTACACTGCCCCAAGCCAAGGAATTCCTGAGGCTACCAGAGGCTAGAAGAGCCAAGGAAAGATTCTTCCCTAAAGTTTTGGAAGAAGCGTAGCCCTGAGAACACCTTGCTTTCAGACTTCTGGCTTCCTAGGAAAACAATACAAATGCTAATAAAAATCTACCATCTTCTTAATTCTTGCTCTTAACA